GAACGGTCAAACAACGCGTCCTACGGTCTTCCACGTGCTGCTCGTGTTTTTTGCGTATTCCGTAACCTAACCTACACGGCTACAACCCCCATTTACTCTTTTTTTTTTATTTTACAAAAATATTCTAATAAATATGTATATATTGCCAAACACTCCACAAGCATGAATTTCTCTTGTATATTTATATGATTTTATTTAAGAAGGAAGCGTATAAATATCCTAAATACACGCCACAAACTTATTTCTATTTCGTTCAATGGGGTTTAATTGGGGTGATAATAACAGTCTCTTCCCCCTCCCCGAAAAAAAAAGAGTAGGGTGGATCACGTGTTACGTGTATGAAACGAATAGGCAAAAACTGAGAAATATTATGCTGTTCTTATACATAAAATCCAATTAATTATTTTATCGAGACTAATTTATCGAAATTAAGAAAAATAATTACTTTTTTTACACCGGTAGTTACCTAATAATATATATATATATATACAATAAATTTATTGTATATATATAAAAATTATCTTTATACTTTTTTCTTTTTCGTAATTAATATTTATAGGGCATGTTCAATAATAGTTTTTCTCTTTTAATTAATATGAATTTTATATAAAAAAATTATAATTAAAATAGGGATATTTTAGTTTAAAGATAACTAATATATGAAGTAACTTGAATTGAGTCTTTATAAACAAGCAAGTGTTTTAATTCTTTTTTATCTATCAGAGTTATAATGTTTGTACCAAGATTTGAACCAAAGACCCTATATATTTTACTTTACATTCCACCATAAGGCCAACCCTAGTGATTTACTAGTGTTTTAAGTTGAATTTTATAAATACAATTAGAGATAATAATAAGTAATATAATAATAATAATAATAATAATAATAATAATAATAATAATAATAGAAGAAAGAGACACTCTATGTCTTTATTTGGAAAAAAATATAAAAGAAATAAATTATAAAAATTATATATTAGTGGGTAGTTAATCAAAAAGTGCATGTAGTTTGTAGAGTAATTTAAGTAGTGATTAGAAAGGTAATAATTCAAAATAATAAATATTTTTATTAAGATTTATTATAAAAATATTGAAAATATTAAATATTATATTTTTAAAAAGATTTTTTTTTAAAATTTGTAATCGTCATGCATTGAATAATGATTAATAAAACCGTAAAGAAGGAATGAATTTTGTACTTACCTAATACTTATTTCTTTGTAATTAAATTTCTTCATTTAGTTTTTTTTTTAAGGTGTGATTTGTTTGGTGATTAGCAAGTAGTAATATGGAAGTGGTGGTTTTGATGATATGCAGATTTCCCCATGTGCCTGGAATATATTCAGATGAACAAGTGGAGGCGTGGAGAAGTGTAGTGGATGCCGTGCATGATAAAGGCAGCATTATCTTCTGTCAACTTTGGCATGTTGGCCGTGCATCTCATCCAGGTATATAAAGTGCATTCCCCTTTTTTCCTCATGTGCCACCAATTTCAGTGTTCATTTTGGGTCCTACTCCTTTAGTATGTGTTGACTATCAAAAACTTACCCAAAAAAAAAAAAAAAACTTAAGTGTAGTTTCTTAGATTTTTTAATAATTTAAATTGAAATAATTCTGAAATTTTGTTTCGATAATCTTTTTTAACTACATGCAAACTTTTTATTACACTGATTCACTTTAGATGACCAAAAAGATTTAGTTCAGTTGGTTTATTAACTATATGTAAACTTTTATTACACTGATTCACTTTAGATGATCAATAAGATTTAGCTCGGTTGGTTTAGTGTGTGCTAATTGTTATAAGCTTTTTAGTATCAGTTTAATTTTGATAGATAAAAAAATTCACATGAGCAAATTGTTAATGTTTTTACATTTTGGCATAGCTGATTTTAATGAACTGCACCGGAAATTATGATATGTTGAATTTACATTTACTTATCAGTTCTTTCTGTTTGTTCAGTAATTTTGCACATTCAATTACTTGTGAAACAGTGTATCAGCCTGGTGGGGCTCCACCCATTTCGTCCACTAGTAAACCCATATCAGCGAGGTGGAGGATTCTCCTGCCCGATGGGTCCTACGGCGTGTATCCTGAGCCTCGTGCACTTGCCACTTCTGAGATACCTGAAATAGTGCAACATTATCGCCAAGCAGCAATTAATGCAATTCGAGCTGGTTAGTTTGTTTCACTTCTTAAATTCTTACTATTAGGTTTTTAAAATCACAATGACCAATGACTTTAATACTAAGTAGTCTCAATTAAGATTATGTTAATGTATGGGTTGAAATTAGAGCCGTGGGCAGGGACCCGTGGGCCAACCCGGCCCACCTTGAAAACGGGCCGGGCCGGGCCAAAAAAATTGAAGTTTTATAGTAGGTGAGTATATCTCAACCAGGCCCACTTTGACCCGGTCCATCCGAGCTAAACCCGTGGTGGGCCGGGTAGCCCACCAACCCACCATTTTTTTTGCAACAAAAATTTAAGCATGATTTGTAGTTAATTTTGTATGATGGATATTGAAAATTTTTTATTTTAGACTTTCATCATGATTTGTATTTAATTTTGTATGATGAATTATGACTTGTGACTATTAATGATGTTAATTTTATGACTATTATGTTAATTTATAATTAATTTAAAATTTTAAAATTTGTTGATAATTTTTTTTTAAATTTTTGGTGGGCTGGTGAGCTGACCCGTATAACCCACCAACCCGTGGTAGGCCGGGCCGGGCCAAATTTTTTTAAATAATCAAAAGTGAGCTGGGTTGGGTTGACTCGTTTTTAAAGTGGGTCAAGGTGGGCCGGCCCACATGGGCCAGGTTGGCCCGTTTTGACAGCTCTAGTTGAAATGCAAGTGCTGTCTTTTTTTAGTTCGTCGTTACGAGATTATGTAAATGTATTATTGAGAAAATTAAACTTTTATATCGATTAGATAATTAAATAATATATAAGATTAGAAATTAAATAATTAAATAATATATAAGTAAAAAGTAATCTAACAAAATTAGCTTGTAAGGTGAGGATTATTTTTTACTTATATATTATTTAATTGTCTAATCTCTAATCAATGTGAGACTAAAAATCTATGATAGTTCTAATACCATCTAAGAATAGTGGATTTAAGCCTAACTTAATTCTACAAAAATCGGTCTGTAAGGTGAGAGTTGTTTTTTATTTATATATTATTTAATTGTCTAATCTCTAGTTGATGTGAGACTTGAATTGTTGCTTTTCACTTATATATTATTTAATTATCTAATCTTTAGTCGATATGAGACTTGGATTTTTACTAATATATATACATGATCTGCTTCCCTTACCTGATCTATTTTTCTTATGATGTCTAAGAAAATAAATGGAAGAGACAATGATGTGATGAAATTCTGAATTTTACGGTATATTTCTATTCTAAATAATATTTTTTAAAAATTAGTATCTTTTAAAATATAAATAATATATTAGAGATTTGAATTTGAAAATTTAAATCGTTTTCTCAATAATTTTTTTTAATTAAATTTTTTTAATTTGATCTTCTTGTTGTCATGGGTATTGGAATCGTCACACGTCAATTTTCAACATTCAATTAATAGGTCACCAGGTTCTATGAACCACGAGTTCTGATACCATTGTGGAAATAACAAATCTTCTTTTATTTTATACATAATAATGACAAGAAACACATTAAAACAACAAAATAAATAAATAAAAAAGATCACACAAACTTATTTAAGGTGGTTTGGTTTCTCGTGCTTATATGTCTACAAAGATGTTCATTATCTATCAAAATGTATTACAAATATATTTGAAAATCTTACTTTTAAATTTTGTGGGTGAAACTTGAAAATTCCTTCTTCACAAGTCTTATGAGTAAAACTTGGAAATCCTTCCTAACAAGTTTTTTGGCGAAACTTGAAAACTTTTATTCACAAGTTTTCTGGTGAAATTTGAAAATCCTCTATCAAATTTTTTTTGACAAAACTTAAAAACCCTTCTTCGTATAATCTTCTTTCACATTTAAGGCGGTGACCCCTTTATAAGCCGAATATTTTTTCTCATCACAAGAGTTTTTATTAATTGACATAACATTCTAATCTTAAAAAAAAAAACAAATCTCTAAAATAAATAAAATATATTTCAATTCTATACAATATCTTAAAAAAATCAAATTTTTTTAAAATTTAAATAATATTTTAGAGATTTGAATTTGAAAATTTAAATTATTTTTCTAATAATTTTTAATTCTCTTCTCCTTTCATTTTTTAATGAATTCATAATAGATTCCCATTTCAATTCCAAGTGAAAGATAAGTGAATTTGAGCTATCGATGCATCTTAGTGTTATGTTCTAGGCACAAAATGTCGCACAATGCTTCAGTGAACTTCACAATACAAGAGAAATAACTACAACATTACAGACTTATGGTGTGGGTTAGTTTTGTGATGCTTTGCAGAGTTTGTCTCTCAAGTAAAAGTTTTGTTTCGAAGCTGTGAAATAGTGACCTACTATTTCTAATAAGCTAATGCTTTCTTTTAAATTTCTAGCCAGTTTCGGAGCAGCTGGATGGAGATTAGTTAGTCCAGATCTATTTCTGTGGATTTATTTAGCTTACCAGCTTGTGCTTGTGTTTTTTTGTTTTTTTTTATTTATAAATGGAATACAATTTAAACCGGTGTTTAACGTTTTGTTTTCATATGATGAAGACAGAAAAACTTTACCATTATTTGTTATTATTTGGCTATTATTAGTATTAAGGCATAAGATGAAATGTGACATCCAGGTTTTGATGGAATCGAGATACATGGTGCACATGGGTATCTCATTGATCAATTCTTAAAGGATGGAATCAATGATCGAACAGATGAATATGGAGGATCACTAGCAAACCGGTGCAGGTTCCTAATGCAGGTGGTTCAAGCTGTTGTTTCTGCAATTGGAGCTGAAAGAGTTGCTATAAGAATTTCACCAGCTATTGATCACCTTGATGCCATTGACTCTGACCCACTTGGGCTAGGCCTAGCAGTGGTTGAGAGACTCAACAATTTCCAGAAAGAGCTTGGCAGAAAACTCACTTATCTTCATGTTACTCAGCCTCGATACACAGCTTATGGCCAAACCGAGTCAGGTAGACCTGGCAGTGAAGAGGAGGAAGCTCATTTGATGCAGAACTTGAGAAGGACTTATGAGGGAACATTCATGTGCAGTGGTGGTTTTACTAGGAAATTAGGAATGGAAGCTGTGGCTGAAGGACATGCTGACTTGGTATCCTATGGTCGTCTTTTCATCTCCAATCCAGACTTGGTTTTAAGGCTCAAGCATAATGAACCTCTAACCAAGTATAACAGGAAGACATTCTACACCCAGGATCCTGTTATAGGATACACAGATTATCCTTTCCTTAGCAAAGAAAGTGAGACAAAGGACCCAAGGGCACGCCTTTAAGTAACTGTAATGTCTTTTGGTTTTCTGAATTTTGATAGTCATATGTATAATTGGAGCTTCCCAATCTAAAGTGAATGTCTTTGTTATGAAAAATTGCCTTGTATACTTTATACCCCCAATATCGTCTGACATAATTTCTTTGGCCTGCATAGTTATCTATATTGCCTGCACACGGCATCTATGTACTTATGGTTGAATTACTTTGTATAATAATTTTAATTTTAATACAATATCTGCCTGTCCCTTCTTAATATAGTGAATTATATTTATTTTTTTTTTGGATTAAAATTCTTATTTGGTCTTTTATAATATTTTTTTGTTTCAATTTTGTTTCACTTTAATTTTTTGTTTCAATTTGGTCCTTAATAATTTAAATTATTGTAATTTGGGACTTCTATCCAAATGATTTAAATGGAGTTAACTGTTGGCTAGGTGGATGCCACGTAGATGCATAGGTGGACGCCAAATCTCATGAATACACCTGGAACCAGAATGATCCGTTCTGCATGCACATGTTATGTGTTAATTTTGCAATTGGAACGGGCCGTTCCAAATGTAAATTTAACACACCATGAGTGCATCAAAACGGCCCGTTCTGGTTCAGAACGGACCGTTCTGGTTTTAGAACAGGTTGTTCTGGATTCAGAACAGCCCTTTCCAGAACGTCAACTTCATGCATGCATTGACCAAAATGTCGCACTGTTATTCAAAAATTGAAAATAAAAATTCATAACATATCATAAATTCAAAGACAGAAACATGGTTCAGAAACTGAAAACAAAAATTCAAAACATAACATATACTAAAAAAGTTCAAAGAAATTACTGAGAAAGGAAATCATCAGGGTAACGCTGAAAGGAAATCATCTGGGTAACGCTGAAAGGAAATCATCTGGGTAACGCTGGAAGGAAATCCTAAACCACAAAAATTCAGGTTGTACCTCCTCAAGAATAGATTGTTATTGTTGGGGTACATCGTCAATGACTTTAAGGGGAAATATCGTTTCGTTTCATCCTTGACTGTATAGTGTCAATTTGGTAGTAAGTGGTTCACTCCAGTTTGATTAACAATTAAATAAAACCTGCTACCATTATCCTTAGTGATACACTGCATCGTCCTTAATAATACACTGTATAGCCCAAATGTTTAGCAATTGAAGTTATCAATCCCCATTGACAATATTACCAAATCTAGTGTTTGAAATGCTTTGTACCTTGGGTCTTTTTTCTTGCACGATTCACAACGTGAACGGTAGGCATTGACCATTCTGGAACTAGAACGGCTCGTTCTGGTTACACTACTGGTGTGTAAATTTGGCATCTAGAACGACCCGTTCCATGTACAAAATTTACACACCAAGAGTGCAACCAGAAAGGGCCGTTCTGGTTTCAGAACAGACCGTTCTGGTTCCAGGTGTATTCAAGAAATTTAGCATCCATCTACGTGGCATCCACCTAGCATCCATGACCAACAGTTAACCCCATTTAAATCATTTGGACGGAAGTACCAAATTGCAATAATTTAAATTATTGGGAACCAAATTGAAATAAAAAATTAAAGTGGGAATAAATTAAAAAAAAAATATTATAAGAGACCAAATAAAGATTTTAACATTATATTTAAATGAATTTTGATCGAATATTGAATTTATTATTTAAATAGTAGTAAATTTAAAAATTATATTAGACAACTCGTAAAAACACTATATATTATAAATATGGCTTCAACATTATAAAATATCATATATTTTTTACTGAATAAAATATCATATTTAAAATATTTGACATTATTCGATATAAGCGGAGACAATGAAGACTATGATACGAAATTGAATTTACTTGTCATTAAAGCTCAAACTTAATAGTTGAAAATTGAAATCTCATAGTCAAAACCTAATAATAAAAGTAAAAAAATAATAAGATATTAATTTAGTCAAATAAATCGACTTAATTCGGTGTTAGAGATTCAAAATATGAAATCTAAACCAATTATAATTTCTTTCAATTAAGTCTGGATCATTACGCCAACAAAAGTTTGAGATTCAAAATATGAAATCTAAACCAATTCGAATCTTTCTTTCAATTAATTAAGTCTGGATCATTACTTCAGCAAAAGTTTGAGATTCAAAATATGAAATCTAAACCAATTCGAATTTTTCTTTCAATTAAGTTTGGAACATTACTTCAAAGAAAGTCAAACTTTGATACTAAAAAAAACAAGTGCACTGAATTTGAGGTCAGGTCTATTTTATTATTTAATAAAAATATTAATGACTATAATATAATTGTCACTAAAAATGTATTTACATCACATCAAAATTTACTATTAGCGATAATTATTTGTTAGAAAAAACTAAAGTCCCACATCGACTAGAAATAAAATAATTAAAGAGTATATAAGTGAATGATAACTCTCACCTTACAAGTATGTTTTATAAGGTTGAGTTGGACCTATAACTATTCTAAGTTGGTATTTAGGAGATAAGATAATTAAAAAAATTAAAGAATATATACTTAGAAGATAACCTTCATCTTCTAAGTCTCACATCAATTAGAAATAAGGTAACTAAAAAGTATTTGTACTCATCTTACAAGTCCTACATTGACTAGAAAAAAGATAATTAAAGAGTATTATAAATCTTTTCTTAAACTTTTAGCGACAATTTTAAATGCCAATAACAAATGACACAAAAAATTATACACTTTTCCCGATCATTATGAGGGTCTTTACCAGCATGTAGAATAATTGCCGGTAAATGTTTTAGCGACACGGCATACAATGACTAATGTGTAAACTGCCGGTAAAAGATTTTGTAACAACTTTTATTGCCACTAAAAATCATATTAAATGCCACTAAAAATTTATTTTATTGTAGTGAAACTTAATTAATGTAACTTTTTTAGAATCACTAGGGTCGACCTAGTACTAAGGGGTTAACATAATATGTATAGGGTTCAAATCTTGTGTTATCAATGTAATTCTAATAGATAAAAAAAATCCCTTATTTTTTCTTATTATTTTCTTTAAAAAAATATTTAATTAATTTCTAGATTTATACAAGTTGTGTATAAGTATACTTGATACTCGATAAAAACGAGTATGAAATACAAATTTCATACCTATCAAACTCGAGAATAAGAATGAGTAGTATGAAGAACAAAAATATTAAAATCTACACCCATCTCATTCTATTTCCATTCCTAACCGTAGTTCTTATTTTTAAAACGGTCTTATCAAGTATAAGTACATATTTTATTAAGTGTAGTTTTTGGTGTTTGGATTTATCAAACTTAATGAGTGAATGTAATGTGTTATTGAGCGTAATTTGTTTTTTATTTCAGAACAATTTTTTTAGTATCATTGTTTAATGTAAAACCTAATGACCATTCTTTTTCATAAATAAATAAATTAAACACAGTTAAAACACGAACATGCAATTCTATTTTCTAAAAACGTTTAAAATATATAAAAATGAGTTCGTGGTTTTAACATGCGTATGAAAATAAAACACTAAGTTTTTCTATTTTTTTTTTCTTGAAATATGATAGATTAAAAAAGATGGCCCTACCAATTAGGCACCTTAGGCAACTGCATTTTCAAGCAACTCTCAATATCAATTATGTTTAGCGTAGGAGATAAATCACGAATTCTCTACATATATCTCTCTCTTTGATATATTTTATGAATGTATATTTGATGAGTATTGTATGTGAAGTATTGTATATGCATACCTACTTGGAATTTGTTATTTAAGTGAAATAATCTAATCCGGCATGCTAAAATATAATTGGGTTAATCAGATTAATAAATCAATCTCGAGATGTTAGTAGACCATATTGAAAGGGTTATATTTCGGAAGCAGACTCATTATATATATATATAAACTTTTTAATTAGTTATTTTTTCTATCATATCATTTATTAATTGAATTTCATATTTTTTAAGCTACAAAATTTATTGCATATTTTATTGTAGAAATAACATTTATTCTTTAAATATTATTTTATTCTCTTTTTAATTAATGAGTAACCAAATAATTTTAACACTTTCGTTCTCTCTTCTTTCTTCCTTTATTTTTGGCTCATATAAACACAATCCTTTTTATTATTCTATGTAAAAATAACAAAACACCTGCTCTAAAAGATACCAAACACAACCTAATTGTTAAGGTGAAAGATTTTTTATTTTTATTTTTAAAATGGTCAAGGAATTCAACGTATTGTTGAGAAGTTTTGTAGAAAAAATGCATTTTGTTTGGACTATACCTCTTACTAACACTACAAGAAAATAAAAGACTTGTTTAGAGATAGAACATATCAGGTCTCTACAAAGAGCAACCTAACACCTTTAAATTATTTAAAAAATATTAGACCAACACTTTTTAAATATTATACCAACTTAACTTAATTGTTTAAAAATATAACATTGATCCCTATACATGAGTTTAAATGTTAACCTAAAACAAAATAGTGTGCACAAGCTTACAAAATCTTAAGAATGTTGTATAATTTACTAAATAAAAATATAAATAATAGAGCATAAAGTAGTAATTGCAAAATTTTCGAAAGAAAATTACAGTGGAGTTAGGGTTGAAAGTTGAAAGTGAAAAAGAGGGACCTGTGGCTACAAGAATAGAAAGAAAAAGTTAAGAAAAATAAATGTGAGAGGGACACGTTGGTTGAAATTAACCACGTTCTTGGCCATTTGGTGTTGACATGCAGCAAAAAAATAAGAGTGTCACCTTGTACCCCTCCTTAACACGGTTGCCGTTATACTTGACAGATTTGAGGCGGCGGCGGCTACTGCAACAAACTTTCCATATGGCCATGATCTTGGTTTGAAAGTCAGTTTATAAGACCTTATGAGGTGCCAAAGCAGACCAAAACTAGGATCGTATTTGTGATTCATGGATAGTTTGGAAATAGTATAAGCCAGTTAATCACCGTTAATTTTTTATTCATACAAAATATTACAAAGATAGTCATCTATCAAATTTCTTATGCATCTGTTTCGACCTCTCTCTTTCCCCTCCGCAAGTTAAACATTGTAACCATAGTCAAAAGGAAACGTGTATTAAGATTGAAGGTCCAGACACTAAATAGTGTAAAAGAAAAAACAAATAACCTGCTAACAGTTAAGTACGTGTTGGATTTTCTGCTATTTTCGCTATGCTCATTAAATAATGAAAATTAAACTTCTCTTACTTATATATAGAGAGTTGTCATCGAATACATTTTTTTTAATTAAAAAGTTCAGACTATAATAATAATTAATATAATGAAAAATAATTATACTTTCGTATAAAAAAAATAAAATATCTACTTTTATAATTTTACAAAATTTTAAAGTTTAAAAAGTTTTAAAGTTTTTTTTTTAAGAAAAATTTAAAAATTTGAGACAAGTTATTAAGTTTAAACTGTTTAATAGTTTTAGAAGAATCTAAAAAGAATTTTCGACTTTGCTTTTTTAAAGTGGTAAAAAAATTAATGATTGATATTATAAGCGTAATAATTCGACATTTCATTACACTTAATATAACACAATAATTAAATAACGAAAAACATAATCTATTTGACTGTTAAAATTATTATGCAATAGTTACTTGAACATTTATGTAACAAATATAAGTATATATAGGATACAAAAAACTTAAAACAATTCCTATCAATACGACTGAAAATATAAAGTTTCTTAAGGATCTACCTACATATCTTGTATATGTATGCAATATACATGAAATGTACGAAACTGTAAACAAAACAATCCTATTATCGATTAGCGTCTTTGTACAATAAATACTGCATCAAAGTAGTTGTATACACAAAATAGGTCACCATCCACCAACATTCAAGCCATCAAAATAACATTGTCCTATTCTCATATATCAAATATGATAATTGTAATTTAATCACAAGGAAAAGAAAGGACAAGTTTGTGAAAGAGTCAATATAATAACATCGCATAAACTTTCAACTTATGCAACATAAACAACTCAAGCAACATTCAAGCTAGTTTATAACACAATACCAACTTATAGCACAACACAACTTTTTAACTTGTAAGAATAACACAAGAGTGATAATAAGCACCCTTACATCTCCAATTCATTATCAAATCACTCCAAACCGCATCTTTCTTCTCTGACTCATCAACCTTGTTAATAAAGATCAAAATTTTGGCAATCACCAAAATAGTGGGGAACCCGAAGATCCTATTGACTTACACATATAATGACAGAGAGTGAATGTCTTTCAAAACAAAATTAATAAACGTATTAATATATATAATTAATACATTCATTATTTTTAAGAAAACTCCTTTAGAAAAAAATACTCGATGCACCATTTTACACAATCATTGTCAAAAAAATTCATATATAATAAATTTATTGTTTAAAAAATATTACTTAAAATTCATGCTTACCATAATGTGTAACTGGTTAACGATACATAACTATATGTCTTGAAAAGTTACTGCAATTTTTCTTCTAAATTAATTCTTAAAAGTTAATGATACATAAAATAAAACATGTTCATTTTAAAGGTTTCGTGTTTAGATTAGTAGTTTGTATGTTTTATAGATATAAACTAAACATTTTCTAGTTACAACAAAAATGCATCAATACTTCCATTGTTGTCACATGTTTGCTTCTCTAACACAATTTCTTGCTGCATGTAATATAGTAAGTAAAATAAAATTAAAAAAAATAAAATCAACACATGTGCATCCGCATGGATTATTGCTAATAATTTTACATTGTGAGCTCATATTCATTAAACTCTTTTCTCTAAATGTGTTTGATCAAAAACCTTTTGAAAAAGGAAAAAAAAAAAAAAACTAAGTCTGAAACTAGTTTATATATATATATAT